CATTCGATCATCAGAAAGTCATTCATTTTGCTTTACGCTTGGGCGTGGGTGTGTATTTGAGCGGTGAAAAATTATTATCCAGATATAGTCGTATAAAACGATGCTACTGTGCATCCAATAATCTACTATCCACTAAGGTATACTTAACGTATGTTCGCGAATGACTTCCTCAATAATAGAATAAGATAGTTGAGCATTTTCCTTTTGAAATTTCTTATATAGGAATAGACATGAATTCCAGCTCAAAAATCGACTTCAAGACTAATTTCATCAAATCCAAAACAATCATCATTATTGAACAGTGAGTATTGACTTCATTAAATTCATGTCACAATAAATGAATGTAAGTGGTTCACATTTGCACAAACATAATTCAAAAACTCGAAATAGGAGCATTGTACTGCAATAAAGCCAGTTGCACAAACAGAGAGCCTCTAGTGATCATGACCTACATGAAATAAATATTAATTTAACTAATTTACTAATTGAAATAAACGTACCGACAGACAACACGTGCTCTTGTTTTGCTCAGTTTACGATAATGTAAACAATACACGTATGTATTTGGTGATTATTATTCTTGTAGGAGACGATTGTTTTGTTTATCATTGTTGTTTAAATCGAATTAATTTATTGGAGATGAATAGACAAAATTATAATATTTTTCGTTTTGGGGAAGAGATAATTCAATGTTCAACTGGTGTTATTACAAGGGATTACTTATATACTACAACAGAATCTGAATTTTGCCGCGAGTCTACAGATGTTTTTTTTCCCGCTGTTCAGATCTCAAGGCACAATTGCTTCGTCGTAGAAACAAACTGTTTGATGGTACCAATTCTAGCAGAATTACAATATAGTAAAGGATTGGGTACATAAATTCCATAGTTGGGACGTAGTGCTGAAAATTTAACACCAAATTCTTGGAAGCGTTTCAACTTTTCCTCTGTTATTTCTGTCGTTCGTGAGCAACGGTGACCATTACCAATCAGGTGGACCGTATACACGTCCACCTATACGGACAATAAAGATCAACAGATTCTTAATTATTTTTTAAACTTAATCAATCTTGGTGTATTTCGATATATATTTTAACCCTTTTTGTAGAGGCCATTATATAAGCAGTTACCGCTTTTTATAATCAGACTAGCTGACCCGGCAGACTTCGTGTTGCCTTAATCGATAAACAAAAGACCTAAAATTTTGTATAAAATAATCTTAAAACAAACAAAAGGAATCCATCCGACGGAAGACACATTAAAGGGAAAACAAAATTGTTATTTTTATTGAATTCCGAGCATTTTCATATTTATTTACCTTTTAAACCTTCTCTGGACTTCCACAAATAATTAAAGACCAAAATTAGCCAAATTGGTTCAGCTGTTCTCGAGTTTTAGCGATACTAACGAAAAGCAATTCATTTTTATATACCTATAGAGATTGCAGACTCTAAAACATCGAATCATAAAACTATAAATTGATAATTTCGAAAGTTATTGGTGAACTAAATAATGTTATGCGATTTGATTAACTTTATGTCTTTTCTCTGAGCTTAGATACACTTGTTTCCTCTCTTTCACTTTTAAAATTCTTTTTTTAATTTTTTTTTCTTTCTTAGATATGTGGACGAGCTCATAGCACACTTGATGTTAAGTGGTTACTGGAGCCCATAGACATCTACAACGACAATACCGCCACCCACCTTGAAATATGGGTTCTAAGGTCTCCGTATAGTTACGACGGCAGCCTCACCCTTCAAACCGAAACGCATTACTGCTTCACGTCAGAAATAGGCGGGGTGGTGTTACCTACCCGTGCGGACTCAAAAGAGGTCCTACCACCAGTAATTTCGCAAATTATAATTTTGCGGGTTTGATTTTTATTACACGATGTTATTCCATCACCGTGGAAGTCCATTTAACTTCAAAAAATAATTAAATAACGGAATTGCAATTTGGCGTAGCTTTTGTAGATTTCATTTGTTTTTATTTTTTCTCCGACCGAGGCCGAAAGTTCGGTTTTCATCCCGCTGTACAAGGAGGAAAGTGTAACTTTTCCTTCTTGGGTACTGACAAGTGCGCATGCGCGTTAGTGTCTACGTCTGCTCTCACGCACCTAAAATTCTCCGCCATTGTTGTGCTCGAGTAATTTGCAATATTGTTTTTATTGTAAAAGTGAAATAAAATTTAATGGTGAAGTATTAAACAAAGATGAGCTCACCAGACTTAGAGCTTATTCAATTAGTAGTCGTTTATTTGAAAATTTAAAAAACAGTTAAATTGGTTTTTTTTTAGAGTTGTGGGGATCCGCCCCCCCTACCCCTCGCCAGGGTTTCGCCCCTGAACCCCGGCTTGGTACTCCACGAGTAGTATGTTCACCGCGGGAAAAAAGTAGGACATCTCATCCCACGTGTTTGCCACAATGTACTTGGTGCACAATGTACTATTTCATATGTTCAAAACAACATACTTTCAGAATCTTATAAAGTAAATGTATTTAAATTAATGTATACGAAACATTGTTTTTCTATCGCTTTAAGACATTCAATCCATTTGTCGCACTAACTTGCGAACATGCAATTTTACGCTCTGAATGCCGCATTAAACTATTTTATTGTTTTAAAAATGATTTCTGAGTTCTGTTGTGCACATCGTGGATTTATGGTCGGTTTTTTTTCTAACGTAATGAAGATAACCAGAAAATATGTTTACGATGACAAGCGATCAGTGTTTTTTTTTTTAATTTTTTTTTTATATTAGTGTAATGTGAAATACCACTCAATCTTATGTGGATAGATAGAAGGCAGATGATGATATTATTTAGGAGTTTTAAAAGACTCTGTACGATCATTTATAAATAAAAAAAAATTACTACTTTTCAGTTCCACAGTTTTGTATTTAGAACATTACTGGTTTTAGGACCTCTTGTAAGTCCGCGCGGGTAGGTACCACCGCCCTGCCCGTTTCTGCCGTGAAACAGTAATGCGTTTCGGTTTGAAGGGTGGGGCAGCTGTTGTAACTATAATTAAGACATTAGAACTTATATCTCAAGGTGGATGGCGCATTTACACTGTAGATGTCTATGGGCTCCAGTAACCACTTAACACCAGGTGGGCTGTGAGCTCGTCTGCCCATTTAAGCAATAAAAAAAATCGAATTTCGTGGATATTGAACTATTAGATGATTTACATAAATAAATAAATACTTGAAATTTTACAGCATTGTAGGGTAACAAGAAACCAATTACCAATATCGATGACCGCGTTGACTGAATATGGCATTCGATTTAAATTATGATAATCGGTTACAAAACGTGCGCGTTTGTTCCGATCGTTAGACTTAACAGATCATTTGTCACTGTTAATAGCCTGTGGCAATAATGTTATCTTTTGCATAGTTATTCTATTACTGCGGAAAAAAATTATGAGGGAATTGTATTTCTTATATTTTCTCAACAAAAATAGATAACAATTTATATGAGTCATGGATACTTGAAATAAAAACATTATTATTATTATTAGAAATAAAGATGGATTTAAAAATTAATAGATTTAGTTATTTTGATAAAGAAGTAAATGTGGAAGATAGAATTCAATTAAAAAAATAAAAAATCTAATAATTTCTCATAGTTTTATTAAGAGTGCCGTTATCATTAATAAATTATTTTACCTTTAACCAGAGCATTAAATCAGATGTTAGCGTGGAAACTAGTGCTTACTGAATTACTTACCTACAATTCGACCTGCGCCGTCTGTGTCTAATCTCCCCGTAATGCCAGATTATCCTCAAGCCATACTAGTGAACTGGACGCTTTGGCTCAGTCAATGTTGAAATCGTACTTAATTTTAAGCCGTGTCTTCGGGTTGAGAGAAAGCACATAAATAGTAGTACATAGAATAAAATGCATGCAGATTTTAAACTTTGTAAAACTAGATTTTATTTATTTAACTGACGTCCTACCGAAAATTAAACGTGAATTATAATAGTTAGGAATTTGCTAAAGATAGTGCAGTAAGCTTACAGAAGTACAGACCCGAAAATTGGGTATAAACATTTTATCCTTCGATCGTCGAGGTTACGATTCTTGACTTCTGCCCGTGCACTGTCTCGTAGAGAAATGCGGTGGGGCGCAAGAGAGAAAGAGAGGGAGAGAGAGAGAGAGGGAGAGAGAAAAAGAGATCCTCTCTTTAGATGTCGTCGAATGGAATAAAGGAAAAGGTATCAATTTCCGACTCCTTGGCCCCCAAGTATTTCTCCTGTCTCTTCATACGTCGGTTTGAGAACCGGCGAAGCATGCATATAAATACTCTGTCACGAAACAAAGCAAACGTGTGACTGAGGGCTGCGTGCATGCACGCTGCTTCTGACCCGGTCGAAGATCTCCGATAAGGCCGACGATTGCGTCCTACAAAGTCAAAAAAAATACATACTTGTATTTAATATAAAATGTACACAAAATACGATCTAACACTATTCAGCATTGTGTTGCTTTTAACTGACGCGCTCGGACTATTGATATTTTCAATCATATAACAAATTCGAAATCTTCCTTGTAATTTGTTATTGAATTAGAAATCTCGCAATCTATTAACATTATAGTACGCTTATACTATACTTACTATTTGAGCGTGACAAGCAAACAGACAGACGCGTTCTCGACAGATTGTTTAACATGAAACTTGGCATCAGAATCACGTTTAAAATTTCACTCGTAACTACTAACTGCTTTCCTAATACTTTACAACTGATGACAGTACAATCCACTCGCACATTCTCACTTTTACATACTATTGTGTGTGATTGGACTTTAAAGGAATATAAGCATTATGACCAAGTAATAAGATTCTAGTTATTGGAAGTGAGACAATGCAGAGCTTAGAACTGCCACGCCCAAATAGCCTAGCAAATAATGCCCATAATCGTTGCAAATACATATTATGTTGCTTCTATTAAAACAGTCTTGTGTATTTTATTTATAATAATTTTTTGTTGTTGTTTCAGAATCACGTATAGAAGCTTGCAATAGTAATAGTAAATTGTAAGTAAAATCATAATTAACTAATCAATAATAATCGTATTTTTGATATTATTACTACTACTATACTAATAGGTACATATTATTTTATATAACTATATAAAAATATTCTTAGAAAATATTTTTAGCATTCTCAAACAGCTACGAACTATTAAATACTAACATTAATACGTAGTTTCTAAGACAGAAACCAAATTCAATTCAATAATGTAAAATCGTTTGTAATGCTAGTCTCAGAAAACCCTTTTATATGCGAATATTTGAGTAAGTTAATTTGTGCTCATACCAAAACTACATAGCCGTAACGAAGTACTTAGATCTGCTCTTTTAATAAATCTTAGGTTTTTTTTATTACTTAGAAGGTTACACGAGCTCACAGCCCACCTGGTGTTAAGTGGTTACCGGAGCCCATAGACATCTGCAACGTAATTGTCGCCACCCACCTTGCGACATGAGTTGGAAGGTCTTAGCCTTTTGTCAGTCAGTTGTCTTGATCGTGTGATTTGTTCATTCCTTATTGATTTATCCCTTCTTCAAACGAGGCTTATGGAGAGTACTTAACGGTAGGCAACGGCTTGGCTTTGCCCCTGGCGTTCCTGAAGTCCATGGGCGACGGTAACCACTCACCATCAGGTGGGTCGTATGTTCGTTTGCCTGCAAGGGCAATAAAAAAACCCATTTGCTAGGGATTATGTATTCGTATGATGCATACCGCAAACACTCATTGACCCACTGACGGTTGAATTGCATTAACAAAATGCAATTGCATTTTGAAAAAAATGTGAATGTGTTATGATTTAGACGTAGTATGATTATTAACAAAAGCCAATGTTGCTTATACAGTGATGATCATATCGGGTGGATTTTAAAAACGGTTTTGTAAATATCTATACGTACAAATAAAATTGGAGTGTCTATTTGTAATATTGAAATAATCGCTTTTTACTACATGCATATGAATTACACCAAAATAACATCTTTTACAATTTTTGATGTCTGTTTGTTTATTCCGGCTAATCTTTGGAACGGCTGGACCGATTTTGACGAGACTTTCACTGATAATATAAGGAGTATCTTAGGCTTTTTTTTAGATTAGCTTCGCCCCGCGGCTTCACCCGCTGTTATTGTCGTACCGCGCGCAACATGGCGGGACTCGCCTAACAATAATAAAATTTAATGTTTCCGAAGCGAAGCTAGAGAGGGTCGCTAGTATTAAAATATATAGGCCTCTATCGGTAAATAGTGGAAACTTGGTAAAAACCAGTTTCACACTAGAATTTCTAGAGAAAGAAATACAAAACTGCGTTTTAATTAAAATTTTCCGATTTGATTAGCAGACATCGATAATTTTACAGAAGAACCTTCGTAATACGATACTCATAAATTAAATGTATACAAATTGAACGCGGCGGAATCAGATGGAATTCCACGGATCTTAATTGCTTACCATAAGAAATCAAACTCGCAAGACAAGTATGGCAAGCATTCTACAACACAAACTGGTATTTTGACTTGAGAGAGTATGAAGATTATGCGTAATTTGTTTGCGATCAAACTGAGTCTAAACTATTTATAAACAAAACTGATTTCCTGACGGTAGCTATCATAGACCAGAACATATATGACAGAGGCCTGAATAGCCCTAACGCCATTTTTAAGATAAGTTCACACATATACAATTTGTTTCCTAATGATTCTTGTTCACATAATGGTTGTCTGGGAGAGATCGCCAATTGTACTGTTTTGTATTTAATGTTTCATATTTTATTATTATTTTGTACAATAAAGCATAGAGATTATGCTCTCTCAATGCTCTATACAAGCTCCGAACGCTAACATTTGAGCCCTCGCCTGACCGAGCTTTATCATCCGTTCCGTGGAACATTCTCCCGTTGTCTTTACCTCCTAAATATTACCTTGGAACATATATGGCAACGTGTACGATGGACGCCTCGTGTCTATGGTATTAAAACAAACATAACCCAGAAATACATACCGGTTAAGTACACAAAGACCACGTCCACACATTTAAAATCGTTAAGTAATGTTTGACTTGATAAATTTTGGATTACACATCTTTTAGTGTCGGTGTTAAGATGGCGTTATATTACCTAATCGTTCATTAATCGGTAATTATTTTATTGATTGCAACAACAGAACAACATGTCGAATTAATAAATTGCAAAGACATCAGTAGCCTTGCCACAAATGTCAAATTTCGTAAAAGTATAAATCGTGCTAATTGGTCGTAACATTTTAATTAAAACCGTCTAACCGTAATTTGATTATCAAACAATAATCGTCTATTACACAGCGATACGCATAAATTTTATTATAGTTAAGCGCACGTATTGGTTAATATTTAAATAATTGTGATTGCCTTTTGAAATTTAACCTTTATTCGTTATAGCCAAATATTATCGTCCAGAATCAAATTTAATTAAACTAGAGGTCCCACAGTAGTCGAAACTCGACTATAATTAATTGGAATTGTAAGTTTGTACACAAATTTCGCTAAGACTATACTATAAAAAATATTAATAAAGACCAACAAAATTTAATCTATTCTCAATTTGACCATAGACGTCAAGAACAAAAGTTTGACAATAAATGCATGCGTGTGTGCGTCAAATACATGGTATGTAGTGTGTTTAATGTTTTCTTTATTGATTTAATGTATGTTTTATGCATTATTTTAAAAAAATATTAGCGTTGTGCACTTCTTCTCTATATTCTATATAAGTGTAGAAAATTTCATATTCTTCCGTCCGCGCTATTTTCGTAAAAAGGGATACAAAGTTTTTGCTTCACGTATTAATATATAGATTATTCTTGCGTCTTGAAAGGCGAACCATTCTACGTTGATCAATGACAGATTTGTTTAATAAGCACAGGACATTGCGGTTTCCGCCATTAATAAACTTAATTGATACATACATACTAAAACTTAAAACCGATCTGTTATTTCCGCTGAGCGGACAAATGTTTTTTACTGGTGGTAGGACCTCTTGTGAGTCCGCGCGGGTGGGTACCACCACCCTGCCTATTTCTGCCGTGAAGCAGTAATGCGTTTCGGTTTGAAGGGCGGGGCAGCCGTTGTAACTATACTTGAGACCTTAGAACTTATATCTCAAGGTGGGTGGCGCATTTACGTTGTGGATGTATATGGGCTCCAGTAACCACTTAACATCAGGTGGGCTGTGAGCTCGTTCAAACACCTAAGCAATAAAAAAAATAAAAAATGTTTTCAGAGATCTTTATTCCACGTACGTTAAGACTGTAGAATAAATTCTTCTCGCGGTATTTTTTGAGCGATACGATATATCATCCTTCAAACTTCAAATTTCGAATATACAAAATACTGTATTGGTTAACAGCAAAGCTCGATAACTCTCACATCACGAGCGAAGAACAATGAATGGCATTGAGGAATTCAGTGTGGAGTCTGACAGTGACAAGTGAGGCATCCGACTAGAACGATTTAGAATGCGACTAATGCGTGCGAGGTACATCATGAATAATTACTAGACTAGCATATGCGAACGAGTAATTAATTACAAAAGCAGGGTTGTCAAGTATTTCGTTACTTATCATCGTGAGAAATAAGTGTTTTTAGTATAAATTTAAGTAGAAGAAATTAATTTTCTGTAACTGAAATCGCAATTATGAATCTTGTTCTAAAAGGAACTTAAGCGTCGTGTTCATCAAGCATCAACAACTACATTACTACAACTACATTAGTTTACTTAAATTAAAAATGTCTCCTTGGGTTTATTAAAATTTATGATATGTATAGGTACTCATAATTCCCTAAAACGTTAGTCTAAAGTTTTTAATGATTTTGATTAATGACAACTCATCACTTCTTGGTATCAAATTATTCCGCGTGAAAAGAAAAACATTATCTAAATTTTATTATAAATGTTAAAATATTTATTAGTAATTTCATGAACGCAATACTTACCAATATTTTGTTAAAACAATAAAACAACAGATACGTCAAAGTAATGGTAATAGCGAATCAAAATCTTTTCCGCCTACATTTCAAAGACAATTTTTTTTTTGGATAGTCATGGTTCAAAAATAACAGGTATTATTTACGGCATGATATTGTGGGTAGGATTTTACTAGGGCGTATGAAGGCTATAGAAAACGATTACATGTAATTAACGGTAGCTTAGTAGCGTCGTTGGCCTCGGAGGATCATAATCTCATGTCGTCTGTAATATTTGTTCAAGGTGTATTGGTAATTGACAATTATTAACGGGACGTGTCCGTTGTATTCTGTTATTGTTTGCAAATTTGTACTGAGTCAGGCCGCAGGTATTTTCGTGGACAAATTCAATCGAGACATGCAGTTCCATTCAAAGGGCTTAAGCCATACTATTTTCTCTGACTAATAGACTGATTCGGTGGTGAAATAGTAAGCGCTTATCTACGGCACCACATGATCAACCTTCTAAAACATCGTACATACCTGGAAAGTGTACACGTTTTATTTATCGCAACAGAAAATGGATGGGAAATTAAAGAAAAAATGTTAGTTTTACTCATATCATTAACATTCAAAAGAAACAAGAAAGTGAGTAGTATCTTTGTTTATAGTTATGTCTTGCAACCCACGCTAATACTTGAATTAGCAACCTACTTATCACGTAATCTAGATGTCAATTTATGGTATTGCGATAAAATTTCGAAGCATATGAGGTCATTGTGAACGAAGAATGTAATAATAGGTAAGGACTTAAAATTCACCTTCTGCCTGAATGTTTTCCGTACAGCCTCTAATGCCAGCTTATTAAAAATCCGTTAAAGTCAATTCCATAGAGTATTACCAAACTTGTTATAATTACGTCGACATTCACCGTTTCCTGTCCATGAGAACGGTTGACAATAATTCTGTGTATTTCCACTTTATGACTAAGATTTCCGCGGATTGCTTACCTAGGGATACCAGTGTATAATTTTGTTCCATACTTGTCATCTTTTACTCGTTAGTAACA